TTGTCCATTTTATTTTGTCATCGTCTACAATGTGTTTTGCAATTTGCTAATCGTAGACAGATGAATTGTATTCTTCCTCTGCCCAGCCGGCCACGTCTGTGATGAACGAGTCAGGGAACTGTGTTGACAGCAGAAGGTTGATGATACCTTCGAGGTTGGTAGTTTTCATGTCATCCTCTTTGATTAACGCACCAATGCTGCGGTGTGGATTTTTTGAGAGAGCTTTTTGAAGCGTCGGTGCCTGCGGGAAATCTTTGATTTCTTCGCAGTAGGATCTACATGCATCTCTCTGTTTTTGTCTGACATTTTTTTTTTGTATTCCCTGAGATGAGATTTGTAACTATATTAGTCCTCTTTGAGTTTTGTAGTTTTTGCCTTATTAAAGGATTTCCTAGCTATCTTCCTGAGGTGATCCAACTCGTGACACTACCATCCGGTAGTCGTCTGATCGTGTGGGACCAGCCTCAGGGGACAGGATTTCTTAAAGGCATTGTTTATTGTGCTTTGGATAGTGTTCGAGTACTTCTCCAAAGCATTGTTGTTGTTTGGTGTTTCAGCTTTTACCTCTCTCAGAGCCTTTTGGAGAAGGTGGGCATATGTTTACTTAATATCCTTTCTGTCAACTATCTGTCAACTATTGACTCGCTATATAATACAAAATTTACGTGACAGCTTCAATATTATTTTTAACCGACTTCAAAAAAGGAAGAGGTTCTCAATTCGTCGCGATATTTTTTTTTAATTTTTTGTTCAGCGATAATTTTTTAACATGGTGTCCGATTTCAATAATATTTTGTTAGAAAGGGGCTACTTCAGGGGTGGTCCCATATAAATTTAGTCAAAATCTAATAATTGGGTCCATAAGAAAATCCTCAAACTCTTCATTTTTTATGTATGTTTAGCGATAATGCTTTACCACCTTGTCCGATTTATATATTTCTTTTGTTGTTAGTAAGGGGGTACCTCAGGGGTGGTCCCATATAAATTTGGTCTAAATCTAATAATTGGGTCCATGAGAAAATCCTCAAATTCTGAATTTTTTATGTATGTTTAGCGATAATGCTTTACCACCTTGTCCGATTTATATGATTATTTTTTTGTTAGTAAGGAGGTACCTCAAGGGTGGTCCCATATAAGTTTGGTTAAGATGTGGTAATGGCATCGGCACATTTTTGAAGTCAGTTTTTTTAAATTTTTAATTTATAATACTTGTTAAGAATATCATGTATTGCACTTGAATCCACATACTTTGATTGTGACTTGAATCACTCTTGACAGACATTGACTTGAGTAATAACATAATTGTTTGGTTTATTTTAATACATTGTTTTTATATTTGAATATTTAGTTAACACATTTAATACTTTTAGAATTTTTGTGTAATTCTTTATATTTTAGTGTTAGTTATGCCAATTATTACACCGAAAGGACAATAACGATGACTCTATTTACAGATGAAGCTCATTTCATACGTTATTGAATTAATAATACTAGGAATGGACATGTATGGGTAGTTGAAAATCCTCGTACAAACAAATCTATTCCTAGAATAGAATTTCTATAAATATATGGTGTAGAATTTTTAAAAATCGCCTATTAAGTCCTAATGTTATTAAGCTGCTATAATTTATCTAATTTGTTTGAGACACATCCTGCTGCATTATTTAAAGGGATTATTACCAGAAGTATGTGATTTTAACATGATCCTGGATTACATTTTCGTATACCAAACAGAGACTATTTTCTTAGTTTCTTAATAAATGGATAGGTCGAGGCGGTCCCGCTAACTAGTCATCGAGATCTTCAGATATTAAACCTTTGGATTATTTTTGATGGGGCCATCTAAAATCAGAGAAGTATAATGTGGTAATCGATAGCCTGGTATAAATATTGGAATTTTTAATTAACATTAGAAATAATCTTGTCAAATTAGTGAAAAACCTTTTAAAATGTGCTCAGAAGTGTATTGATGTGCAAAATGTTCATTTTAAAAATCTGCTCTAGTAATTGCACCAACTTTTCTGTTTCTGTTTTAAGAAGAAACGAGTCTTGTATAGATGATCATAAATTTCTTACTGAATATTACCATACATTAAACAAATTAAATATTAAAACTACAGTTAACTAAAGAATAACATTTTTAAATGCAATATACCGGGTGTTCAAATTAAAGTGTTACAGTTAAATACCGCCAAAAATATGCATTTTAGATAAAAAGTTTAACACAAATGTTTTATAGTTTTTTGGGTGAAACATTTTGACTAAATTCATTTTTTTATAGCTGACCATAATATGGCCATATCGAGGTGGACTTTGTTTTTAAATGGGAATCCCATTTTTTTTACATATTCTTAGAGTACATAAAAAAATAAGAAACTTTTGGAAATATTTTTTTTATTAGACTTTTACTTTTTCAGTAACAGGTACTTGAAAAATTTGCTGGGCGAAAAAAAAGTTGTCCATATTATGGTTAGCTATAAAAGACGATTTTAGCCAAAATTTGTTCCCCACAAAACTATAAAACTTTCGTCTAAAATTTTTTTTTATAAAAGGCAGTATTTAGCTGTAACACTTTAATTTACTCATTTTAATAATTGATCCATACACTATTCAAACGAATGTTTATTAACATTCGATAAAACACAATACAGGGTGATATTTTAGGTAAGTAGAGTAATATAAAAAAAGGGAGTCCAGTCCTAAAGTTTTTTAAAGTTAAAGTATGGGTTTAATTAACTTAAGAGAGTGTTACTTTCTACAAAATTTTATTGAAAATCTATTTCCGTTATTTTTTTTGAAAATCATAAAATGACACGTATCTCAGAAACCATAAAGATTAAATGCTAAGTATTAAAATGTTTTGAACTCGGATAAGTGTGCTCTTCCTCTCATTAAATTATGTCCGTTTAAATCTGGGACATCCTGTATATACACATAGTGGAAATTTTAACTTAATAAATAGAGGTTTGTCGAAAAATTGCTGAAACATATCAATTTTTATTTTCAATGGGGCATATCACAAAGAGCATGTTAATTTTTTTAATTATCTTTGGGTTACTGCAAACAATTTTTTTGTACATGGAAAAGTAGGTTGATTAATTTTTTATTATAAAGCCTGTACTGGATTAAAAACAGTTTTTGGTTGCTTTTAAAACAGATTTGGGTTCTTTTAAGAAAATAAAAATAGTGCGGAATATTTTCTATTAAGTAATGAGAGTAGATATATATTTTATGGTTTCAAATACATATGCACAAACGGATTATAAACAGGTGAGTAATTATATAAATTAATTATTATTTTATATAAATATAAATGATTTTAGGTAGTTTGAAAAGCAATCACAAATCGAAGATAATCTAAAAATTTAAAGGCTTGAAGAGCTTCTCATTGGTACCCATGTAAAGAAATGAATTAAGTTTAGTAATTGCTGTAACAACCTATGGTAAGATGTAGTTTATTTCTAGAAATAAATAGTCAATAAATGATATTAATAAAATTAGATTAATTGGTACAATAAATTTTATAAAATCAAAGCAAATAGGTAGTATATGAATGTCACCAATCGGGTGAAAAGAAAAATGCATAAAAAAATGATTAGGTATAAATAAGGTTATTATTTAAATATTCTTAGCTGATTTTTTCCAGGTCTTCTGGCTGTTAACCATGAGTTGAGTCTCCAGTTATCTTAAACCCAAAGAGACTGGTTGGGTTCCTCCACTAGATTTATTTGGTGTCTTTAAATAATTCGGTGTCTAGGAACCTCCGGGTTCCAGACTAGATATAGTAAATTCAAAAATTAAACTTCAGATTGAAATTTGAATGGAAATTAGATTGAAAATCAGCATAAGAGTGAAAGTCTGCTTAAGAGTGAAAGTGAAAGTCTGCATAAGAGGCCTAAAAATATATTGCCAAAACAAGGAAGATAAAAAGTTTAATATTCTTTTTTATAGAGTTTATTCCTTAAAAACTCACCTTGGATGATGGGTAGCCAAAAAGGGGCTTCAACTGAAGTAAGTTAATATAAAAAAGGTGAAAAACTTTATATATTCGGAACTTTTATCCACAATGGTGAGATTATTGTTTAGTATAAACAAAAAATGTTTTAGTTCACTAAATATGAGATTTTTCGAAGAAAATCCGCAAAACGCTTCTTTCTCAGAAAATGTGCTTAATGCAAAAAAGGCAAGAACCACTTTTTTTGCTAATATTTGCCGCGAAGTTTCAGGAATAAATTAATTGTTTTAGTTGGTATCCTGTTTTCTTTTTTTAATTGATTTAAGAGAAATTACTGTTTTAAGAATTAATAATGACAAATTAGAAATTAAAAGAAGAGACAAGGAAGAATATGACAATTCTTAGACAAAGTTATATTTGTTTGTATACAATATTTGAATATTTCTAATTGATATTTTCTTTTATTTTAGAAATGAAATATGGGATAACCAACTAGCCAAACTCATTGGATTTTTCACGAAAATAGCATAAAAAATTTATAGTTATACAAATATATTTTATTTTATTTTGTTTTGTTTTGACTCTTGAATCGCATTGAGGTATGGAAATAATTAAATTTTATTGAAAATATGATAGAATCATAAAAAAAGGTAACTAATATAAATTTTAAATATATTGCTCAGTAAGGTACTTTTAGCCCGTAACAAGCCTTTTCAACTGCAAATACAATAATGAATTTTTTGACTTTTTTCTTTTTGTATACAAAACCATTGTACAACTAAGATCAATAGCAAATAAGTAATTACACATATGACCTGTTCAAACAAAAACGCAAGTTGCATGTATTATATTTTTATAAAAGAAAACTACGTCCCTGCTAGATAACTGCCATTATATATATTTTAGGAAAAGTAAAACGAAAACCTTTACAAATAACGTTATTAAATTTTCAAGTAGACTTTCTAGTTATGTGAACAATGACGTAGAGTTAGAAACCGGAATCATTGAGGTCGAGTTAAACTAAACTTTTCCAATCTAAACTCACCTAATAGACTAGCGAAGACCATCACGAAGCAGGTCCCCAGGTAGACGTCGATCGATTTGACGTAGGAGATTTTCGGGAGTGCAGCGTTCGTCGAAGACATGAGCGTAGTCATGGTCAACACGGTGGTGACTCCTAGGGCCACTCTGGCTGGGGTCGCGTTACGGTTCAGCCAAAAGCTTACCTATAAATAATGAAATAAAGTAATGACCAGCTCCTATGTACCAGAAATATTGATTTAAATTAAAGTATTCAGTATATTGGTAAAAATAAGATAGGAAATTAGAAAGTTAGTTAAAAACTATCTCAAAATAACGTCCTAAAAGTATTGGCACGATTTTTTTTGTGAACAAATTTATTGAAGAACTAATATTTTGTAACTTATTTTATTATGGCTCAATGTATTATTAAATTTTAATATGATACGGTTCCAACAAATTCGCAAAAGCGCGACGTTCAGACTGGGGCGCTTAGGTAGCTATAGACATTACGGTGGTACGTGCCTCTCAAAAACTGCAATAAGTGCCCACCTACAATAAATATTAAACCTTCCACCAATTTCGATGGGCCATTTTTTATTTTCAACATTGGTGCGTGAGTGGGCGTACGAGTGACTTATTTTCTTCTAGCTACATTTAATATTAAAGTGTTGTAAGATATGTGTCCAATGATTTCACACAAGCGCGGGGTCTACACAGAGGCAGGTAGGTAGTTGTAAATATTACAAGTGGTACGGCTTTCTTGAAAACTAACCTATTTTTTTAATACTTTCATTGGGGTACCTATTCTGTAACAATTCCTTTATATTTAACGGCCTTTAAAAATATTGGCGGTCTTTAAAAATATGTTCGTATTCGTTAATTTACTTCTGTCATTATTTAAACAGATTTCTTTAAGATAGTCCTCTAATGTATTTTAAAGATCCTTTTAAATAATGACAGAAGTAAAGAAGAAAATATTTTTAAAGGCCGTTAAATATAAAGGAATTGTTACAGAATAGACCCCTTTATGTTCGTTAAGTGGTCACCTGCAAGAAATATTAAACCCGCTACCAATTTTGCTGGGTCATTTCTCTTCAACGACTTATTTTCCAAACTGGATGGTTTTACTAATGTAAGATAAACAGGACAGCTTTTTACTGAATTAGTGTGCAATAAGAATATTGGTCTATATTTTAGTTCCCAACGAAAATAAAAAAATAAAAATAAATAAATTAATTATGGTTTTATATAAACGCAATAATTTGATAAAGTATTTTTAACCAGATTTTGAGGTTGCAGAGATCGAATTTGCTTACAGAACTTTTTTGCTAGCCTTTTTAAAGGTCTAAATTGTATTGTTTAATGTCACATAAAACAATGTTAATAATAAATTTTTATTGAAACAACTCATAAAAGAATAATATTTTAATACAAGGTGGCCAAATTTAGCATTTATGAACCAGCACATTGAATATTACATAGGGGAACTGAGGGTTAGATGGAGCACCAGGGTAAGACAGGATACTAACACTTTTAGCGAAACTAGTAATGACATCTAGCAGATTTCTCATAAACTGTGTTTCTTATATGCTTTTGACCACCTGTTGGTCGATTTTAACTGCCGCCGCTCAGTTTTACCAGAGCAGTAGACGTAAGAGGTATGTTAGTGCAAATTTTAGAGCAGTGCTTATCTTTTTTAACCGATTTTTATTTAATCGTAAGATAAGTGAATTCATTTTGACGATCGTTACGTACTGAAGGGATATGTTTTAGTGATTACGTAGCCATTGAGAAATATTATATTATTATATTTTTGTATTTTTTACAAATATGACATAAACATTATATGTATTTCTGGGGTAAGATAAGGCATTTTAGTTGAGGTAAGTACTCTTTCTTACCCTACAGTCACGTTTTTGTTGATAGCAGATTCTAGTGGCAGAATCTGGTTACAACAAATGCAGTGGCCTAGCAAGCCTTACTGGGCAAGGGACAAACATACGAGTATAAATGCTTGCTTTATTGTGTATATGGGCATTAATCCCTAAGCGCCAAGCAACCGAGGCAGGCACTTTCCCTGACCTCCACCTGGCTACGCTACTAAACAAATGACCAATATGTGATGAAGGGGAGAAGATTCTGATTTTGTTTCAGGTGCGAAGTCTTATCGTGGAAAATGGTCTCTAGATAGCATGAAGCATGCTGTTGAAGCTGTGTATTTAGGTTCAATGGGTTACCTTAAAGCTTCCAGGTTATTTGGGGTTCCTTAAACAACTTTAGCAATAAAGGTTAAAGAGCGTCGACAAATAGAAGATCCCACAAAATTTCAAATAATTAAACATCTGGGACCTACATGTACCACATTTACTAAAGAAGAGTAGTAAGTTTCATACCTTAAGAAAATGGAAGAGATATTGTTTGGATTGACTGTTATTTAAGGAAGTTCCTATCAGTTGGTTACAAAATTAAAAAAATATTATAGATTTTCCAAAGAGACAAAAATAGCAGGTAGAAATTGGGTAGCATTATTTATGGCACGTTATCGAAGCTTATCAATCAGGAAACCTGAAAACACAAGTGCTGTACGAGCAATGGGTTCCTTTGATTTGCTGATAGGTGTCATCGATAAATAATAATAATGTTTATTCAAAAAAAGAAATATATATTACAATTACATAGTTAATTTAAATATAAACATTGGTAACTTGCTGAGGCATTGTAATGCCTGTGTGCGAGCTAGGATATTTTAATTTTTTTTTTTTAAATACAAATAAAATTCTATATAGAATAATAAATAAATAGATAAATTCATGATAAACAAATAATGAAACAAGTAACAAAGCATATAATATAACATAAAACAAGTAATAAAACAAATAATAGAACATAATAAGCAAACAGTAGAACAAATAGTAACAGGGATATATAGACATTCGATATTTAATTCATAATGAAATATAGTTATTAATTATTATTTTTTTTTTCACCAGAAAAAATATGGAACTGTGATTAAACGGGAATATCCATTGTTCCGAAAACAAGATCTAAAATAATCGCGCAAACGGGGCGAAGGCAAGTTGGAGCGCTGACTTCAGCTGAAAGAGGTGCTACAGTAGTAGTTGAAGTATGCTTTAATGTAGTTGAAAGTTACATGTCACCCATGTTTATATTTCTAAGGATGAAAATAAATCCCGAACTAATTAATGACTGTTCTCCTGGAGCATGGGCTGAATGTCACCCGTGTTATTTATTGCGGACTGATATATTTTTTAGATGGTTTAAAACGTTTGCGGAGCTCTTTAGTGCGTCCAAGGAATTACCAGTTCTCCTATTACTGGATGGACATCATTCGTGCACAAAACATATTAATCCTATTTGTTTTGCGCGAGGGCATGTAGTTATTTTATTTCCCGCCCCACTGCACTCATCACCTTCAACCCCTGGATTGTGCTTTTTAAAACTGCTTAGCACATTTTACGAGGCAGAAGTTACCAGGTGGTTGAGACGCAATCTTGGGCGACTAGTTGGAATTCCAAATAGCTAAATTGTTTGGAAATTAACGGATTCAAGAAGGCTGGTATATGGCCTTGTGATAGAAATACATTTAGTAACGTAAATTTTTCCCTAGCGGAAACAAGAAATTGTTCATCCTTTGAAGTGGCTGCAAATGCAACGGAACCAATTAAAAACAAAAAAAATGAGTAGCCTGCATATCGACAAGGTTGTTCGATGTGGATTAACGGACAGTTTTTGAAATCGCATGTAATATCACCTCAACGAAATACAAAAAATATATCTCCCTAAGCCACCCCAAAATCATATCCGGAACACTCTAAAAATATTTTCTCCTGAAGATGTTATGCCAATTCTAAAAGCAAACAGTAGAACAGACCGACCAAACAAATCGACCAAACAGATCGACCAAACAGATCGACCAAACAGATCGACCAAACAGATCGACCAAACAGATCGACCAAACAGATCGATCAAACAGAAAACGTGGAAAAACTGTTGTTTTAACAAGCACAAGTACAAGGACGAACTTCAAGCAGAGGTTGACAAAAAAAGGGAACCAGAAAAAAATCGCGAAAATAGAGAAGAAAATTAGTCAGAAGCAGGAAAAAATAAAAAGATAAAGATAGTTAAAAAACAAATATTTGCACCCGTTAAACAAAAAATATCCTGAAGAATTTGGCCAACGTCAAACTCTTCAGCAGATACTGATGATGATGATGCAGTATGCCTATATTGCAATTATTATTTGTACCCTAAAAGTAGTGAAGGTTGGGTTCAGGAAAATGTAAGAGATGAGCTCACTGCTCATGTGCAGGCAAAGAAGAAGAAAAAGACGATGAAGCAGTATATCTTTGCACACTATGCCAATAGTAAACTACTTTACGTTTTGCTTCTCCATCTTACCTCATATATGCCTCCCCGTTTTACAGCACACGTGTGGTAAGACGGGGAATTTGCACCTTAATAACTAACATGTTTTCTTTAAATAATAAAAATTTTTACCCTAATTTTTGTATTTAATAATAATAATACTCTCCCTAATTCACCCCCTTACGAGTGAATTTTACCCCCAAAAGCTAAGCTTGTGCGGGGAAAGGGACGGCATTTATTATTATTTGCCGTGGCGCTCCGGAGCGACTTAAAGATGATTGATGGTGCCATTTGACTTACAGGTGAGGAAAACCTGAAAATCCTCACCCACCACCATCGAGACGGTAATGCATGGCGATTTTTTATAATCTGCATGTCATATCAACAGAAATTTTATTTCTATTAATACGGCACACATTAAATCCTATACTGAACCATGCAATTTAAGTAAAAATCCACATAATCTGGTCTGGGATTCGAAGCCCAGCAGTCTCTGACACATAAACTTGCTTAAAAATGAATATAAGCGCGTTAGACCGCTACACCACCGACCCGATGTAATATATTTTGAATATTATGAGCACATTCTAACATTTCAGGACAATTTCTTTTTTAAATAAATCTGCCCCAAACCTTAGGTACCCCATCTTACCCCGAGTTCCCGGTAATGATGAGAATTTAAAAATCAGGAAATAATAAAATTCGTTTTCAGCAACCTTAAAAGACCCAGATTGATTATTTACATCGATTTTGGCAGAACCCTTTTCAAGGTATTGCGTTTTTTTGTTTAAATCATGAAATAATAAAATTCGTTTTCAGCGACCTTAAAAGACCCAGATTGATTATTTACATCGATTTTGGCAGAACCCTTTTCAAGGTATTGCGTTTTTTTGTTTAAATCATGCATACATTTTAAATTTATAATTTTCGTTGGTAAAACGGCGAAATATTTTTAATGGACATTAATTCAGTAAAAAATTATCATTTTTATCTTGCTTTGGGACAAGCGTTCACTTTTTAAAAATAAGTCACGGCACGCCCACTCACGCACAACTTAAAACGGAGAGAAAAATTGGTTCACCGAAATTCGTGGAGGGTTTAATATTTCTGGCAGGTGGGCACTTATCGTCAAATAAGCATTACGAAAATATTAAGAAAATAAGTAAACTTTTTGATAGGCAAGTACCACTTATAATGCATTCGTAAATTCGTTGGACACGTATAGTAGAACAATTTAATAAATGCAGCTATAAGAAAATAAGTCACAACTCTGCACGTTGGCTGTTGGACTATAACCAGGTATCATAAACTACAATTCAATACTATCAAATAATATGAAAAGGTCCATACTGCACCATCAAAAGCAAATATTTTTGGATGTATCTCATGAAGTCCTGGGCGGAATTTAAATACATTTTTGTTTTTCTTAAAATTGCAGTCTTAGTTTTCCTTCATCTTGGGCTCCTCACTTGCTCAGGCTCTTTGAAAAACTTTCCATTACAGAAAAATATTTTATTCGATGATCCTGCGGCAAGTTTAAAAAAATGTTGTTTCTGGGAACAACAGGTATGTGATGTTGTAAAAGCCATTTTTGGGCACGATTACACGTCTGATAAAAACATGATATCATCATAAGCATGATAATCGTGGCCAATCTGAAGCATTTTAGAAAGGCAGTTATCAATATAACTCTGACTTTTCAAAGCTTCGCCTCTCACTCATCCCGTAGAAGGTCCGTATAAACCCTGTTAGAAATTGGGCACTAGACAAGGATTTTATCAGCAGTTTTCGCCAATTGTTTGTACCTAACATTATCAGGAAATTCCTAAATCCATTGTTTTTTTTTTTCAGAATTATTCAAAAATAATGGATTTTTCATCATCAAAGTGCACCCGCCTCAGTTTATGGTATCATCTTAGTATACGAAACAGTTTTCCTTGAGGGTATTTGATGCACTAACGTCTCTTTCGATATCTAAGATACCGTATCCTTTAAAATGCCGTATTAAAGAGAAAGGCTCCTCGTTGGTATCTCAACTATGTTTTCTGCTCATATCACCAACCTTTCTGCCTTCTGTGCATTAAATACTTATGGTCTTCTACTTTTTTGGTTATTGAGTCATTGTGTTCCATGTTGTTTCCTGTTGCTTGATAAATAATTATGTGTGAAATATTCTCATTCTAGAACATTCGAAATATTTCAGCTTTGGGTATCCAGCCAACCGTTGTAGATAATTTTTAATTACTAAATTATATACTTAAACTTTTGAATGATTAACTCTTAACTGAAAGCAAGATTTTGTTTTCAATGGCAACTTGATATTTTATACTATTTTTGTTAAAACTAAAGCCAGTGAATCTTGTGCCAAAACTTTTAGGAAATACATTACTAAGGATCAGTCACACAAACAATGATGAATTCTTAAGACATGTTGAGAGGAATAGAAGTCTCCGAAAAACTAGAAACCTAAGAAAATTCGTTTATTTTTATCCTGGCCAGGTCTTTTATAATGTGCAAATAAAAGAAGTTATTTCTGAAAATAAAAGGTAAGCGTGGAATGAGTAGGAAATAAAATTATCAATAACATTTAAAAGTGGACTGGGTTAGAGGCTCGCATCTTTTTTGAAAGTACTTAACATCGAGACTAGTTTATAAAGCTAGATAAATACGCAAAGGTAGAGACAGGCAAAATATAAAAGTTTCTTTAATTTACAAATAAAAAAAAACAGGAGGACACTAAAAGAAATAGTTGGTTTGTTAAGAAAGCATGGCGACCTCATAAAACATTAATTTTTATCCTTTAAGGCATCTATCTGCTTCCCTCTTAAAGGATTCCTCCTTGTGTTCCAGCCTGTCTTTACCACCTGTAGGATTTGCATGATAGAAATGCAGCTTGATAAGCTTATTGTACCGCCATTCGGATACTGACTGATCCCGCCAGAGATAACCCACACTGCTGGGCTATGAACGGTAAGACCTTTTACAGTTAAACAACAGCCCGATATCATCAAACGTATGAACTGAATTAAATACAAATTTTGTCAGATAATGAAATTGCAGTGTATATCATAAAAAAGGTCTGGATAGAGTGCAGGGTCTAGCACTGAATACAGAAAAACCAACAGCAAACAATTAAATAAATGTATCGCATAAAATATATGCTATGGTCATAGACGAATAGATAGTATTACTTAAACATACATTTCTGTAGAGAACAATATGATATATATTAACTACTACATACTTATATGTCGATATCAACGACGAACAACTACTGGACTAATTTTAATTCACGGTCTTAATCAAGTGTTTGCCAAACTGTTTTGGGAGAGTATGGGAGAGTCATATTACAAGGATTATCCATAATTATTATTCGGAATTCACTTAACAAAAAATGCACAAATGGCATTAAAAATTACTTAACAGTTATCTGTTTAATGTATTTTTCTGGTTACTACTATTATTCTAGCTGAAGGTAATTTACAGGAGAGTACATCATTAGAGTGTGGTAACGGTGTAAAGCAAGAATTACACTAACAGGACCTAGTCAATTCATAAAACGAGTGCTCGAACCTCAGATAAACAAACCCGCACAAACCATCCCCACTCAATATAGCAACTGCCTCGTTCTTTCCAAAGCGGTAGACGATGTGACAACTTTGTTTGCCTAATATAAATCACAATCTGAATAATTGAATAAATAAGGGCTTAATTATGAATTAATTGATTAGTGTAGTAGTTTTTCGTCGTTGATAGATATGATCATTACTTACCCAGGAAATGATGACAATAAGGCCGGACGGGATATAGATTTGGATAAGATAGTAACCCATCGATCGTACGAATTGAATTTCACAAGCTAATCTTGAGTAGTTTCCTAAACAAATTTTCAAAAATAATCATTTAAATAACAATATAACATATTACATAGATAAATATATTTAAAAATGTAAAAACAATCATATAAGTAGATGGAACGAACTTTGAATGAACCGTCGAATAAAATGTGCAATTTGCAATTTTAAAATTTAGTGCTAACATTATTTTAATGATTAAAATAGAAGCGTTTGTTAGTACTTAAACAAAATGTGTGGTGTATTTACAAACATTTTATAGGTACGCCTATGTTCCTGCTGATAAAATCATCTGGTAAAATGCTCATATAAATGCTGAAATGAGAACGCACTGTAGTGGCGTTTTAGTGATTTGAGAGATGTAGGACCAGGATGCTATAACAAAATTATTTCAAAAGTCATTTTGAGTCTGCATTATTGAAATATACAGTGTGTACAAACAGTAAGATAACTTGCTAATATTTTAATTTCTGAGTTTTATGGGCCTTTTACATTTGACAATTTTCTTCATGAATTCATAAATTCACTTCATGAAAAAATTGATAGATGTAAAGCCAAACTTCACAGTAGATTCATGAGTTTCTTCATGGATATGTTCCTTTAATTTTTTATTGAAATTTAGAGGTACCAATCAATCTCAACTAAATAGACGTTCTATGTCATTATGTTGACTTAAATTTGTTTTGATTTGATTCCTTGTTCCTATAGGCAATAGAATATATGTATTATGCAATAAATTCGGTTCCGGTCATATTAATTTCAACATTTAACCTCACTGGTTTACAATTGTGTATCTTGTGTTGATACACTTATTAAACTGAGCTTTAGATAAAATTTTTATCAAATAAATCAAATTATCAGTATAAGTCAGTTAAAACTATACTAGGTGCACCATTACTCCAAACTGTGGATGTATATTTTTAAATAGTGCTAAAAATTATTTAGAAGTTTTCTCAGACAGTTTAATAGTTAAAAGGGGACAACAAGATCTCCTGAGTTAACACGATTAGAATATTTTTATGAGTACATCAAATAACAAATGAGCAATTACGTAATGTCATATATTTACTATAGACTAGAATACCGCCAGTTAGAAAAGAAAGATACTTTGAGCATCTATACAGGGTGTTTCACAACTATGGGATCAAACTTCTGGGGGTTATTCAGTGCAACAGTAGAAAACATTTAAGTATAGCGACCCATGTCCGGAAAAGTGTCATTACGGCACTACAGCCCTAAGACGCGTTAAAATTTAGAAAGACGATGAATTGCCTAAATAGGATTTAATGCATTTAATTTTTGCCTTTTGTACATGATATCATTACAACAATTGTTCAAAATGTCTTCTTACAACCTGAATACACTGATTTAAACGTCGCACATAATTTCGGCGGACTTGACTAAAAATTTTATGCTCGTTTTGAATGATTTCAAATGCTGCTGTAATTTGTCCATTTAAGTCTTGCTCTGTTTCTACTGGAGTTTCGTAGACCAAAGACTTTACATGTCCCTACAGGAAAAAATCTAACGAGGTTAAATCGGGTGACCTAGGAGGCCAAGAAACGGCTCCACTTCTGGCAATCCAACGGTGCCCAAACTGCTGAGCCAAATCCTCACACACTTGTAAAGCAAAGTGAGCCGGCGCTCCATCATGCTGAAACCACATTTGCTGTCAAACGTTTATTGGAACATTTTCAAGAAGTTCTGGAAGAACTTTCTCCAAGAAACGCCGGTAAATAGGTCCTGTTAACCGTTCCGGTAGAAAGTATGGCCCAATCAAATAATCATCAACAATGCCTGCCCATATGTTGACAGACCAACGTTGCTGATGTTTTCTAGGAAAAATTGCATGGGGATTTTCTTCGTCTCAAACATGGCTATTCCTACTATTAAAAATACCGTCTCTTGTGAAAGAGGATTCATCGGTTGATAAAACAGCGTAAAAAATTTGGTTGTGCAGCGATTTGATGAAGAAGCCATTGACAAAATTGAACTCTAGGATGATAATCGGCTGCAGTCAATCCTTGAACTTTCTGGAAGTGGTAAGGATAAGAGTTGTTGCTCGTGTAGCACCCGCCAGGCGGAAGCGTTACTCGTATTTATATCCTCAGCAATGTGTTGTGTGTTACTTGATGGTTCGTCGGCAACTCCCTGAAGGACCTCTTCTTCAAATTCGACCGTTCTTACGGTTTTAGCAACATCAGTATCATGCATGATAACGTTCTTGATACAACCGCGCTGCCGCTCGTGCATTGCAGCTTGTTGCTCCGTATACCAAATGCATATCCGCCAATTCTTATTGGTAAAGTTTTCCATGAGCAACAATTAATTTTTGTTAAATTCTTATAAACTTCACAAATACGATAGCACGACTAAGGCGATATGAAATGCAGCTACAAAAAACAATCTCTGTTATCGTTTTTAAAGATAACAACACACAAGCGCCGGTAAATTGTTTAAAATCATCAGCTATAAAATTTTTAAACTTTAACATTGACATTTTGAACAATTGTTGTGATTATATCATGTACAAAAGGCAAAAATTAAATGCATTAAATCCTATTTAGGCAATTCATCGTCTTTCTAAATTTTAACGCGGCTTAGGACCGTAGTGCCGTAGTGACACTTTTCCGGACATGGGTCCCTATACTCAAATATTTTCTACTGTTGCACTGAATAACCCCTAGAAGTTTGATCCCATAGTTCTGAAACACCCTGTATAATCAATAATATATTTGATGCTGTTAATTATTTTAGCAATAAAAATATTTCTCCATTAACCCGATGCATGAGGGTTTTAACGACAATACGAAACATGTGGTCTATTAGACCAGGACAAATATTAAAAACGTAAAAATTTGATTTTGTGCAACCAGCAACGAAATAGATAATTATTGTTACTAGGGAATACAAAACATTATTTATTGATTTTGAATGCACTCCAGACATATAGCCTTTGAGCAGCCAACATATCTATAATTGATTTTCCTTATTTTCGACGACGGACAAATGCTACACAATATTCTTTTAGGAAGATTGTCATTTGGTACCTACATTGTCACCCAATTTCTTGATGGAATGAGTGGAACTTATTCCCAAAAAGTTTTATATTTCCTTTCTCAGGTTTCGAGAAATATTTGTATCCAGCCTTTGCCTTAGGTGAGGTTGAAGTAGTTCGAAGGTCAATGCTTTCACAAATTTAAAACAAGATGGTTTTTAATTATTATCCTTGTAACATAGATAAAGAAGATAACTGTTGGCTACACTTATACAATTGTAGAAAACACAGCCAAGGGCCAACGCATTGCACTATTTGCGCTATAGATGGCACATTTGATGTTTAAAACGATTTGCGGAACATTCGCCCCCCACATTTCGCCCCACACATTTCGCCCCCCACATTTCGCCCCTGCACATTTAGCCCCTGCACATTTCGCCCCAAGACATTTCGCCCCCAACACATTTCGCCCCCACACATTTTGCCCCCAATATAATATTTATATACGGTCATAATAATTATTTGTTTCTATCACAAATACCGTACCAATACCAAAGTTTTTTATTATTAATTTTAGGAAAAAACCAAAAACCGTATTCTTCCTAAAAAGTTATACATGTTCTAAAATCTAAAATACAATCATCAGATAACAATTTTTTCCAGTAGTATACATTTATTAAGTGTAATAATTTTAATGGTCCAATCAAATATTTATTAAGTGTTTATACATTATTGAAAACCATCAAATCAAAAAGGATTATAATTAGATAATTTTCTTTAATGGTCCAATCAAATATTTATTAAGTGTTTATACATTATTGAAAACCATCAAATCAAAAAGGATTATAATTAGATAATTTTCTTTAATGGTCCAATCAAATATTTATTAAGTGTTTATACATTATTGAAAACCATCAAATCAAAAAGGATTATAATTATAACCTACCTGCCCTCAACAATTATAATATAAATATTCCCAATATCTACAAACCTTCAGTTTCATTTGAACAACTAAAGTGATTTATTGTTGATATATATTATATAATTATTATGTCTTTCGTTAAATCAAACCGTGGAAAAGATAAACTGGTTCATAAGAATCACGTCTATTTATTTTCTAAAAAAAGTTCGGATGGCGAAAATAGCATATGGGTGTGTGAAAAAAGAAGCGTCTGCAAAGGGCGTGTTTGGACAAAAAGGGATTCTCCTGTTGTTGTAAAAATTGTCCAAGAACATCTTCATCCAGCAGAGGCAACTAGAAGTGAAGCTTTACTAGTTTTACAATCGATAAAAGAAACAGCAAAAACCACACAGGAGTCCCCACAACAAATTTTGGCTACTGCTGTCTCAGGTGTACACAGCAACGTTAGTGCAGCATTACCTAGAAAAGACAGCATTAAAAGAAGCATTCGAATGAACCGGAAAATTACTGGAATTCCACTCCTTCCCCAACATGCACAGGAAATGGTTATTCCAGAGGTAAGTTTAAAATAACTTATAAATGTGACTTTTTAGAAATTTTTATGAACAAGTTTTACAAAATGCTGACAGATATTTACTTTTAGGAGTACAAACAAATAATTGTAGATGGTGTTTCGCAACCATTTTTGCTGTTCGACTCTGAAGATCAGTTTCTGCCTAATAGGATGCTTCTGTTTGCAACAAGAGAAAATCTCTCGAATCTTCTAATTTCCAAGGATTGGTACGTTGATGGTACTTTTAGTACAGCTCCAACTATTTTCAGCCAATTGTACACCATACATGCGAAAGTCAACGACTACTGCAAAAATTGAAGCAACTTCAGCCCGGCTTACAACCTAGGACTATCATGTCTGATTTTGAATTAGCATCAATACATGCCTTCAAAGAGGAGTTTCCTGGGGTGAACGTGACAGCATGTTTTTTCCACTTCACTCAAAGTATCTGGAGACGAATTCAAAGCGAAGGCTTACAGGTCGTTTAGATTATTTAAGAGGAATAGCTCTCAATTATACATTTTAATTCAGTTTTTTAATATATTATATA